TTCCCTATGAGTGTGCATTTTGGAGGTTTGGCTTAAAAAAACAACAGCTTGTGAGTTGAGTGTGTACCACACAAATGCTCACTGGACCTTTGCTATTAAAAATGTGAATCTATGCCTTGCCCCAATGCAGTGCTGCTCCTTCTCAGTAACTTTCTCTTTTATTATAACTAGAGTACATGCCTTCTTAAACCAATAGCCTTTGCTCTGCTTCAAATCAAGGCTTTCTTTCTCTGTTCCACTGAACCTCCATCACATTTGTTGTCAGCATCGCCCTTGAGCCAGTGCCACCAACTGGACTCACACACTTCAGCCCCGACTGGGCTAGGCGAGCTGGGTAGCACTTCCAGAGACCACCTTCTGCACAGGAACAGGTCAAAGTGCTGTGGACTCACAGCTTAGAGTTGTGAGCACCAGATTCACTCCAACAAGAAGACAGTCGTCGCACAGCAGAGTATAGCAGAGCATAAACGACTCGGAGAGCAGCTCTGTAGAATATCTTCTTTATTCTATCTACAACTATAATACACAACTATGTACAGAACTAAATGAGGTCTAAATGAAAATGTTGAACTGCACTGAGTGTCTGCAGCTGCTCTTAGCAGCAACCTTATCTATACACACGATCTCTCTCTAACACTCGGTCTCTCTCCCTCTCTGATGTGAGGCTGGAGCGAAATAAGTAGAGAGCAGAAACCGCCCCCCTCCTCTCTGGAGAATCAGCAGAGAACATCAGCAGATTCTTGGAATGGGAGGGGTGAAATCTCATTTGTACCACTGGAAGATTGGGACTAGCATCTATGTAGTTGCTCCTGTTGCACCAAAAATACTTCCTGTGCAAAACATAAAACCATTCAGTTAAGTTGTAGAAGAGAATCTACAAGTTACATCTGATTAAACTGTTCAGGGTTTGCGACATATTTGACACAGATAGCAAATCAGAATGTTTATCTAATCTCAAACTATTAATGGCTCTTCGTGATTTATTCATGCTCCTTTTGGCCATTGTCAGCTAGGCACAAAGTGGCCTTTGATTACTGAGTTTATTAAAAAAAAAAAGCTACTGTTAAATGGAACTGTGGGCTATCAGCACTTGTAAATCTCACTCTGTACCTCTAAACAAGTCCATTATGTCTCTTCTGCTTCCCTGGTAGATACTGCATATGCTAAGAATAAAGTGAATGGCAAATGGTACTACTTTGATGATAGCAGTGTGTCTCCAGCATCCGAAGAGCAAATAGTGGTATGTATTTGAAGTCAACTGAGTATACCTTGATGTACTCTGTAACTTTTAGAATTACAGGGGCGTTGCTGAGTACTTAAATTGAGGCTCAGACCAACAATACACATTTTCATTGCTGCATAGTTCTATACATTAAGATGCTGGTTGACAGGGATTTCATTGGCACTTCACTTTTCAGTGTGCCTGGTTGCTGTGTAAGCAGTGTGTTTAAAAACCTTTTTTTTAAAAAGGGCATGAAATCTGAGATTCAGCCCCCCCCCCAAATACTCCCTAACAATGTTTATGCAGCTGCTAAATCGGCACAGTTGCAAGGTAGGAATGGACGTGCAGAGTGTTTTCCAAAAATACTTGAGGCCATACACCTGGAAACTCATAAGGAAGATGGAGCTGAGTGCAGCTGTTTGACTTGGTCAGACTTTCTTTACACTGTTTTCCTAAATCACTTTCAGGAATGAGTGCTGGATTATCTTATTTCTGTCAAACACAGGTAGCAAACATACATCCCTCCAGATGTGGCACTAGTTTCCATTGGCTCCAGCCAGTATGGTGAATGGTCAGGGATGATCGAGAGTTGTAGTCCAAAACATGCAGAGTGCACCAAGTTGTGGGAGGCTGCTCTAGATCTACAGAGCTACTAGAGAATAGGGTGTTGGTACTGGGACTTCTCTTGCATGCAGGCTTGAAGACAATTTAATCCCATTATTTCTCACCTTGCCTTGCAGACAAAAGCGGCATATGTCCTCTTCTACCAACGTAGAGATGGCATGCTCAAGGGAAACCCCGCTCCTTGCATAAGCACTGAGCTGAAATCTGAGGAATGTGATGGCATGGATACCAACTGAACCTATGTGGTGGGGTTTAAACAAGTCATATTGCTAATTTTAAAAAGCATCCAAGAACTGATTTTTGTAAGAATCAAACAGGAGTTTCAGTACAGAAGGACTCAATGAGCAGTAACTATGGATAGCATAGGGAAGCAATAAGATGTCAAGGACTTGGGTATATCATAGCCAAAGAGCTTTTAAACAAATAGTTATTCAATAAAGTGTTATCTAAATCTGACTGTGTAGTCTGGCAGAAACTGTGTGGAAGCAGGAGCTTATGCTGTATGACTGGAGCAATGCATGAAAGTGCGAAACAACATTTGACTGTAAGTAGAATTCTGGTTTGAGCTCTATGCATTGCAGAAGATGCCTGAGTGCTTGTGTTTCCAGAGTAAAAGAGAAGTGAACATTTGGCACAAGTTCCAATCTCGCACAGCACATTTTGGCACTATGTTGCTGTCAGTCCCTTGCTGACATGGCATGGTGAGCTTGTGTGTGCTTTTAAGAAAAAGAGAAAATTGCATATTTGTTCTGGCTCATTGTGTCCCATACAGGAGTCACAATCCCCACATTTTCTTGTTCCGTTCTAATAAAACAATTATTTAGGATCCGTCCCAAAGATTAACTTTCCCCCACCCCCAGCCTTTCCAGCAGCAGTATTCATGGGGCCTATTCTTCACACCAACTCACATGGAGCCTTATATGCTCCTGATCTAGTTGGTAACTTACATATTGTGCAATCACAAGGCTTCTTTATTCAAGTGTCTCATTGGGGAGCTAAAATAACTTTCCCTGGTAGTTTTTTTAAATTCCGCTGTCAACTGTCTTCTATTTCTGTGCACTTTCAGCCACACCAGGAAAAGTTCAGAGTCCATCTCTTGAAGGCTGCATAGGAATCAGTGTCCAGTGGAATATGTCCTTTTGGGTGGTCTCAGACACGACACACTATTTTTCTTTTTAGCCATTTTATTTCTCTTTTTGTAATCTTTTGCTATCCTCATACCTCCTTAGTATTTTTTCCTCATTGGCTGAGAGATGGCAAGAGTAAATGTTGTTTGACTTCTTCCTACCCACAGCCTCCTCCTCCACGGAGGATGATAGACAAGAACCTTCTAGGAAAGGAGCTTTCAGGTAACACCGTGGAATTCCCATGCACACTGCTATGACACCTTAAGACATTTCCCATTTAGTGTCATGGCTTTGAAACTATCTTGGCACCTGTGTAAAGGTGTTTCACTTTTGTGCTCTGAACACATTCCCACGGATTCCCTTCAGCAAACTAAGAAGTATTCCTCTCCCAGACTGCTTCTGTGCTGATCTTTATCGGCATGACGTCAGGCAAGTGGTAGCCAGTGGTATCGTCAGGCCACACCATTTTAGCAGAACTGATTAAAAGTGATCGTGTTCTTTTTAACTTACAGAGCAGAAGAGTCCTCATTGCTGTCAGCTGCATTTTCCTCACTATTTTCCAGTGATTACTATTGCGTTCTCCAGGATAGTCCTTTTAAACACTGAAATTTGAGCTGTTTGGTTCAGTTGCTAATGCTTCCAGGTTCTTTAATTGATTTGAGGTCTTGTCTCAACTGGATATTATTTTCCTGCACACTTGGGTTGGTGGGTGGGGTTAGGGCTGGAATTATTTAAAGGCTAAGTTCAAACTGTAGCATTGCACTGTTTTGTTTTTTCCTGTTTTTCTGGGTTATATTTTCTTTGGAATGTAACATTTGGACCGATAAGGAAACAGATATTTAAAAGCAAAGAGCAATTTAATGTAACCATATGTATTTCTGTTCCATACTGTTGCAGCAAACTTTTCACTGCTCTGTATGGTCAGATAGTGTGCACATTTGTGTTTGGGTGATTTTTGGGCTCCTGAACTAAATTTCTTCTAAATGCTGTAAAGATGGTATTAGGAACCTGGATTTGCCTCTGACCAGGCTGGATCCTAGCTGGTGTGTACATTCTGTATAGTGTCAAAATCTGTTTTTAGACTAGCACTTTGTAAGTGACTGGCTTTACTGTATAAAAGGAAAAAAAATTAAAAAGAAGTGGATTGCACTTGAGTGTGGACCTTGTTTTTTCTGTATGGTGGATGGGGATTTGAAATAGATACTCAAACCTGTATCTCTAGTTTTTAATTGGTAGTCTGTATGAAACACTGCAAATGTTATGGGAACTTTATTTTCTGCAGAAGTGTGTGTTTTGGAATACAGTGGTGCTCTGCAATTTTATTATTGTTTATTTATTATTTAGACTTGTTACTCATTTGTTACCCAAAAGATTCCAAGTGACTTCTGTTTTAAAAATCATGGTACATGTAGATAAATGTGCCCAGGATATGCATGTAGATAAATGCATAATTCCAAAAAATATAATCTCTGTCTGTAAATATATATCTCTCTCTCCCTCTCCCACCCCATCCAAAGGAAATAAAGTCATTGCAAACCAGCACTATATACAAGGTTGTGAGAGCACAGTAGTATCTAGTACAAATAAATTTGATCAAAAGTAGCTTTATTTGGAAATTGCTTCTGAAAACTCTGGGTCAGATTTTATCTGTAAGGTATTCAACTAGCACATCCCATCAGAGCAAGGATTTCCATTTGCCGAGACATTAATTTCCTATTTGGCTTGGGGGAAAATAGCTTTATCTCCGATTCCCATTGTAAAAAGTAGATCTGAATGATTATAGTGTAAGCAATGTATTTGATGACACTAACTTAAGAAGCTTTTATTATAAAAAAGCATAATAAGGGGGGGTAAGTACAGTGGTACCTCAGGTTGCAGACCCTTCAGATTACAGATTCCGCTAACCCAGAAATAGTACCTCGGGTTAATAACTTTGCTTCCAGATGAGAACAGAAATCGTGCGGCAGCGGGAGGCCCCATTAGCTAAAGTGGTGCTTCAGGTTAAGAACAGTTTCAGGTTAAGAACGAACCTCCAGAAAGAATTTAATTCTTAACCAGAGGTACCACTGTAATGGAAAAAGACAAGCCCAGAATATATTTACAGTAATACAAACTATAATTTACACCTGATACCATTGTGCTGGCTACCCCTAAAATATTTTTGACTACGTAGGCAAGATTATAAAATGGATAGAGGTGCATCTCATGTAAAAACATTATTTTTGTCATTTTGATTTCTAAAATGGAACTAGTTTTCTTTGCTAACTTTGCTGTCAGATGGCCAGAGTGGCTGCGGAATCCCAGTAAGATGGGTATAATAACAAAATTCATTATTCTTATCATTGATTGCCTACTTTGGGGTGAGGAGCCTGTGGTCATCCAGAGGTTGCTGAATTACAGTTCCCATAATCCCTGATCATTGGCTGGCTGGGGCTAATGTGAGATGGAGCCCAGTAACCTCCAGAGGACCACAGCCCTGGTTTATGTGACAAGCACTAGGTAAAAAATGCTAGGTGGGAAACATCAGTTGGCACCAAGAAGGTTATGTGGCAGAGAGATGGTTTTACTCAACGTTGATTTTGAAATGGTCTGTCTTACGCTGTTGGGCAAAAGGCACAGAGTACAATCTTGAGAGAAAGTTCTAGCAGAGGGGAAAGGTTCCGTGACAGTTGAAAACCTTCAGTAGAGGGGGGAGGCAACAGACTGTTTACTAGAAGTCTCCAGATCCAGTTGTTGATCATCCCCATGTTACTCAAAAGTGCTTAAGCAATCGATCTTCTATCCTGCACTTGTCTTGATATTGGGACGACTTGGTAAACCATCACAACAGGTGAACAATTCGGAGTTGATTTGTCTGTAGGATGGATTGCTCCACGTTCAATTTACAAGGGGCATTTATTCAAACTATGAAAGTGTGTTAAATTACTCGTTAGCACTTATTAACCACTCAGTAGTCACAAGAGTAGAAAAAATGGTCCATTCTTATACCTTGTTAATAGATGAAGTGAAAGGTTGTTGACTGCAAGTAAAGAACCAGGTAAGCTGTAGTGGCTTTCTGGATATATTGGGAGAATATAACGGGATTTCTATGGCTGGGTTTTACTAGAGCAAGTGTCTAGTAAAACTGACACACACACCTTAATTGACACAAGCCTGATGGTAAATAAGTTTTCGAGCAAGAGTTTGAAGGTTAATATTGCAGGTGCCTGCTAAATCTCTATTGGACGTTCATTCCACAGGAGGTCAGTAACACTGAAGGATCAGTTTTGTGCTGATGTCAAATGTGCCTTGCCAACTTGGGGGACAGCCATTGATTCTCCCACAGGTATCGGTGATCGAACTGGGGTATAAGGGTCCTCCTTATTCTTACAGCCTTGTAATGTAGACTAGGCTGGTCTCAAATTCACCTGACAAGTTTAACAGCTGAATAAGGTTTTGAAGACATGTCTTCCTGAAGAAAGTCTAGCAGGAAGTATTGTATGCTATACAAATGTCAAACTACAATGGATTATAAATAGCCTTGAATAAAACAATCTAAAGTGTACTTCAGCACATGTAAAAATCATGGCCTGTGTGTGAAGTATTTGAAAAATCGCATCTGATTTTTTAATCCTTTTTGCTTTTAATGTTGCATTAACATTCAGTAATCCATCTGCGTCAAGGACATAGTATATTGAGAAAAGGAAATGCTAGGATTAGCTGACTGCACTATAACTGAATGGATTGGCAACTTAGTATTGATTTCAATCTGTGCGCACCCTCCCAACTTTATATTTCTTACATAACCAAACTCCTGGACAACGTGATACTTCTTCCTTTCAGGTGAGATGTCAGAAAAGCTGAACAGATGCCGTAAGGAGCTAACTGCAGCTATTGACAGAGCAATGGAAGACCTCTTGGTTCCTTTCCCCCCCTCCCCAGATTCCACCACTGACCAGAACTTTGACTTGCAGACAGCACGGCCCTCTTCACCCCTAAATGCAGATCTCTTTAGTCAGAAGGGAGAACTTACTCTTTCAACTGTGTATTACCCCCAGTCATCTTTACCAGTCTCTTCTACTCCTGAAAAGGAGAATCCCCTCTTCAGGCCAAACTTAATTCCAGTGACTACCGCTTCCAACATTCCATGTACAAAACGGGAACCCTTGACAAGCAAGGAAAACACATGGCTACATCCTCCCATCTTCATGGCTGACCGGCAGTTTTTTATCAGCCCAGAAGACAGTGAGAGATGGAAGAAAGGACATCTAAGGTATGCTCTGCTTGTCACAGGCTTAATTTTTGTCTTAGGATGAATAGCACTGAGCTTCTATTCGGATGGCTGTTGATGTGGCTTCAGACTGGTCCAAAGAGTTGGCTCAAAATATGTTGTCACATGAGAAATATATTTATTAATTAACAATTTGCCATCTTTCAGAGATGCTCAAATCCCACTGCCTTACTCTGTGGAATGGTAAAGCACAGTGTTAGGGTGCTCCTCATGGTTCAGTTTTAGACCACCTCTACTACCGTATTTTTCGCCCCATAGGGAGCACCGGCCCATAGGGCGCACCTAGTTTTTGGGGGGGAAATAAAAAAAAATATATTTCCCCCCCAGGCGCGGGGCTGGGGTGGGGGAAGCCCGAGCTTCCCCCGACCCCAGCCCCCAGAACAGGCTGCTATCCGCAAGCCGTGGGAGAGCTGCGCAAAGTCGCACAGCTCTCCCACGGCTTGCGGATAGCTTCCTGAAGCCTGGAGAGCAAGAGAGGTCGGTGCACACCGACCCCTCTCGCTCTCCAGCCTTCAGTGAAAGCCTGCATTCGCCCCATAGGACGCACACACATTTCCCCTTCATTTTTGGAGGGGTGAAAGTGCGTCCTATAGGGCGAAAAATACGGTAATTGTTTCGTAATTGCTGGTGCAAGCACATTTATTTCTCAACATACAGGAAAGTTCTAAACCATGATTCAGAAAGCTAAGATATACTAGTGTACAATTTTGGTAGAAATCATACACTTTAGAGAATGTTTAACTGAACAATGTAAGACCAGTCTCCATAACGTGTTTCTGTGGTGTTTAGCAAACCTGATGAAAGGCCTGTGAAGTCAGAAGCAAGTATAAGTGCCACTGATGTTCCTCCACAGAGCCTGAAAGATCTTGCCAATATGAGTGGTAAGTGTTGTCTGCCCTGCTTACCAGACATGGCTTTTTAAAACTGGCACTGTAAAGAGCAATTGAGTTGCATACCTGCAGAGTCTGTAATAGACTGTGTAACCTGGTGAGGTATTTCTCCATTACATGAACAAGCAGTCAGTACTATTTTAATCAAGTTTTTAACCAATAGCTGCTAGAGTGAATGCATTATTACAGGGTGTACCATGGCAAATAATTTCATCAGAAAAGGTTAAGCAAGCACATCCTTGAAATAAAACTTTCTGACTTGGAAACTGTTACATATGGCTAGAGAGGAATACTTTAGACCAGGATGGCTAACCTTTTGGACCCAATGATTGATCTGGTGAACAGGGAGATGGAGGCTCTGTACTCTGATCCTTCCATCACAATGGGAATGCAGCTTCTTTCCCACACACCAGGTAATTGATCAGGTGAGTGGGAGACCATTCGCATCCTGAACTTGCACAAGCCTTCTGAGAAGTACTCTACATGCAGGAAGAATTGAATTGGTAAAAGAATTAATCACCATCCCTGCCAAATTCCTGGGGGTGAGGAAAGAGAGAGAAGAGAAGGGCATAGAAAAGTCTTGGCAGGCAGGATGCAGCTCATAGGTGAATCATCCCTCCTTTAGACCACTGTGGTCCAATTAGCGTTCATAATTTAGAATCCTTCACATCCATTGCTACACACTTGCTTTCAAGCCATCACCTACTGACAAACATGAAGATACTTTATCCCAAAGCTGGAAGGGAGATATTTGAGTAATTGTTATTAGAATGCTAAAAGCACTGGGTTCCTCTTTAGAGGGGGAAAAAGCCTAGTACTTGCACTTACTTTACATGTAATGGAAGCTTAGCAGGAGTGTTTATGCTGAAAATCCCTCTATGTATCAGCTATTCTTCAACTTGTGCAGATATTTAGGGGCAGGACTGATAAGTTGCATTCTTGTTTTTACACTGAAGATAACCCAGCTATTTGGCCATCAGAGAGGATGCACAGGAAAACTGACTTTGAGAATGAACTTCAGCAGATGTCTAGGCTCTCAAGTGAACTGTTTCCTCTAGATGAGGCCTCAGCCTTGGATCCAAGTGCACAGATCGGTTTCAGAAAGGTCCTGGAGCATACCTTAGAGGATGAAGCAATTATTGAAACACTGCTGGATATGGAAGAGGATTACAAACCAAACAGCTCCACCATGCAGCAGCTGCAGTAGAAAGGCTGGTGTGAGGTGTGAGCTATTTAAGATTTGATAATTAATGCTTCTGAACCATGGAAACTTAGGCAAATAATCCTTTCTGTTGCAAGATGCACTATTAAAGTGATTTACAATAGTGTGGCGTTATAGTGTTTTCCCCATAGGCTAATGAACACGGAACATTATCTAGGCATGGATCAGAAGATACTACCCTTAAGATATTGTCTTCCTGTCTTTTGAGGAACAACGTATCCGCAATGTGCATGACAAGGGGTAACTGATTATATAGTCATGGTTTCCCACTACATTTGTCAAGCAATGGGATGGTACAAATCCAACTGTCTACATTATGTCAAAACTGCCTTAAAGTTCTTCAAGCTTTTAGCTGCCTTATTTTGTAAAGCTATTCAAGAGAAAATGCTTGCAAGGACAGGATGAGATATTGTGAAAGTGATTTTAGAAGTAACTAACTACAAAGTGAGCATTTAAAGTTACTCCATGCACCTTAAAACATTCAGCATCTGCTATAGTACAGAAACCTCTTTACATTCCCCTCAAGAGCAGATTTACAATCTGCCACAAGGGGGGGGGAGGGAATATGTACACCATCAAGGTTGAAGAGCAGTCTAAGAGTTTATTAGCTATAAACATGGAGATAATAAGCAGCTGTACCCATCTCCCAGTACCCCACCCATACACTTGTGATAAATCTTCTTTTGCTTTTCAAGTTATTGTGTTTAACCATTTCAGTTGCAGGGGGGCAATGCTTATTAGTAAAGCAGTCTTGATGCTGGAGTCAAATTAGGTCACTGCTTAGGATGGATTTTATCATATTAAAAGCAGTTTTCACATAAGCCTACAACTGGATGGAGAGATGTGTCTTTACAAGCAGAGAACAAAATGAAAGCTTCTGAATTTCACTAATGAACACTTTATAACTTACTCTAAATATACTGCTGGAGCAAGGGAGAGCTGTACATAGGCAGAAATGGGCAACAGGATATATTTCAGAGCTTCACTGACATGGGCAGATACAGCTGCTCCAGGAGGGATGTAATACTTTCCCTTACAGTACTAGTGACCAGTATGCGACCAGAGCTGAACCAGAATTCCATTTCATTGACACATTATCTTGTTTCTTAAAGACACAAATACAGTGAACAGCTCCCTTCATTTTTCTCAGGCATAAAAACATAAGCCAAGGCCACGTGTTATTCCAAAAGGATAATCAAATGCTTACATTCTGACCAACTTCAGACTATGGCATCAGTAGCCTTTTCTCTACTGTCACACTATGCCAACTGACCCACAGTCATTAAAGAACAGTTTATCCAATCAACCTAGTTCTGTTATTATGAATCTGAGGAATGTGCATTGTCTTCTGATTATACAAACGAGCCCCCAAGAAGCACTGAACTATAATTCACCAAGTACCTTAGGTCATAGATATTGGGAGACTTCAGATGCTTGTTCCCTAATGGACGATAAAAGCAAAAGCTCAAAGCTTGTCTTCCAAAGACAAACCAGTATCTTAATAAAAAAAGGGATTTTCCTTGGTTCTAGATCGTGTCTTAAAAACATTTAAATCAAATTCTTAAAATGAAAGAAGTCTACTCACAAATAGATTCAGTGCTGGTGCCAGCTAAAGTCAAAGTGTACCAATGGTCCTTTTTCAATACCAAAATCAGTGTTTAGTTACTGCTCAAGCAGACCATAAACCTCTGACCATGCACTTAGGGGGCAGGAGAAAGAGTGGCTTTAGAGACAACAGGTCGCTTCTAGTCCAGTCCCTAATCAAGCCTTTCTCCTCAAAAGAACCAGCCTCCCAGTAGACAGAGTCCTCAGTCTGTGGACCACTGAATGGCAACAGTAAGGAGAATCATCTTTGGATGCTTCTCTCATCTAAATTCAAGTCTTTGAGTATTGGCAGTTATGCTGCATATGCAGCAAGGCTGAGCTCTGGCAATGAGAGATGCTTCAAGGGTTAAATCTTATACCAATATTTTAATCATTAATGGATTCTGACTTAGGCTTAGTATGTCTCTAGAGTAGCAGGTACATTTAAAATTTGCAGGGACCCACACTCAATTTCAAGTTTTCCTGAATTATAAATGTTTCTTCCAGTAAGTTTGGTCAATCACTACAAGTTTGGTACTTTGCCTTCTGACATGACTATTAGCAGCTGCCAAATCAGAGCTCCATGTGACTCAAAAGGCATCAGAGGAGACCTCAGAAGCAAGACTCTGTCCTGCAGGTATATAACTCACATAGGTTCTGACCATCTTTATTCTGGCCACCAGTAAGAGTACATTATAGATAAATAAACACAAACTGACTTAATGCCAACCATATGAAGCAACTCAGAACATGGACGTCTGCAGCTCTTCCTTAAACATGCCTTCAAAGCGGAGGTCTTTAGCCATGAGTTCCTCTTCAACATCCTCTAGGGCCCACTGATGGTCAGTCAGTTCTAGAGCCTCCCATTCTGTCTGCAGTGATAAAAGAAAAAACATTGATGCAGCCAACAGAAGTGTACCAACCACCTACTTTCCATCTTGGAAAAAAGCCTTTGCTCAACAATTCTGCCTTAATTTATTCATGCTGCTTTAGACTCTGAATCTTGAACAAGGACACTGAAGTTTGTGACTGAACTGTATGTGTGCAGAGTGATTAAATAGTAGGAACTTGCAAAGAAGAATTATAATGTGTACAAGGAAGCAGCAAGGCTATTGAACATACAAGCAGGTATGTTTGGGGGAGGGGGCAGGTCCTCACAGCTAACAACTGCCTGCAATACTAAACAGAGATCATTGGGCATTTCTGGTTTGTGTGCACATGGCTGCTAGTGCCTAGCATTTGACAAGTGGGCTGTTTGCTGGAGATTAAGCTTTTATTTTACTGCACAACTTGCAGACAGAAGAACAGCTCAGAATGCATGAAGCTACTTATGGGGTTTGAAACCTCTGTTTCTTATTCCTTGCAACTAGTACTGTAAAACAAGTTTCTGTTCAACATATTTCCACTTTGTATACAATGTTAAGTATCTTCTCCATACAGGTCATCAACTAGAATACGGTATATTTTAATGCATAGGTTTTCAAACTTTCTACCCCGTGGACACTCTTACTTTACCATTTTGTCTTCCAAGGACCCCACCCATACCCCCTGTCTATGCACTGGTAATAATGGGCACTTCTTTTGGCTAAGCTTCTGCACCATTACTGATCTTCTCATCTAGTGTTTCCTGATGAATGGAAGTTTTATCTACCCTAAAGCGGCATGAAAAAATTACAATAGAATAGGGGTTTCCAATCACACTCCTATAAGCTACAAAAATTATTTAGCATACATTCAATAAACAGATATTTAAGACCATCATTTTTTGCAGGTTTTAATCCTTTGAAGTATTTTTTCTGTACATTCAAGGAATAGAAGCAAGGCTACATGAAACTTGAGCAGCTCGTTTCAGCAACGGAACAGAAGCCTCATACCTTGAATGCTTTATTAGTATCTGCAGGCATGGCCATTGCCGCCCCTGTCATCTGCTCCTGCATTACTCTGGACTGATCGGCAGCTGTAAATATGAAAGAGTGACTTGTATGACTCTATATAACAGTAGCAATACTATCAAAGCTGGGGAAAATTAAGAATGTGAGCATTATAGTGCTGTGCTGAGGTAGACAGCAACATATCTCCCTTGTATTGTACAAGTTAGGCCGAAAAAGGTATGAGGTCTCAGTCAGGTATGCTTAACTTTCTTCAGCCTTAATAAGCTGAAGACAAGGTTTTTGTCTATTATTGCCGGAAATTTTTACAATTTACTAATATTAGTAACTACGTCAAAATTCCTAAGAAACATTTAAGCATAGTTTGACACATTTAATAAATCAAGAATCACTCTTACTTTTACATAAATAGCAGTTTCTTACCATTATCTTGACCAAGAATGAGGGTATAAATGCTTCGAAGTCCAAACACATTCAGAAAATACCAAGAAGCAGAGCTAACCCTAACAAACCAAAGAAATTGAGTGTCATTTAAACAAATGCACAAATGCCCAATTCCCAACACTGCTGTAACTTTCACATTTTCAGATGGACAAAGATTGTTTGAAGCACAGTGAAGGATTCTTACCAGGATGCATCCAAAGTAAGCAACTCAATACCCTGCTGTAGCATTGGTTTAAAACGAAGCGTCAAAGGAAAGGGGACTTTTGCTGTAAAAAATAAAAATATGGTCAGAAACAATTATGATTATTACAAAGCACCATAAAACACAGTGCTTTGCAGGGGAATATAACTGAAGGGAAATTTCTCTCACAAGGAGCTTAAAACCTGTGACAGGGAACACGAACACTCAGCTAATGAAAACGCTGATTAAATTTGGGGTTTTAGAAGCATCAGGGGATTTTAGAAGGCCTCCAGACCACACAAGTTTAGATTCCTAAACTGACACTTACTTGTGACAAAACCAGAAAAGGTCATGTTGATCCAGCCTCCGATAAGAATCATAGGAAGTACATTTGTTACATTCCCTTTCATCATATCTGTCAGCATAGTAGGATCTGCAAAGCAAATGCAGTTAAAGTGACCACACAATAGAAAGTCTATAAACCCACGGATTTTGGGTATACTACTTTAAAAACAAAGGAAACCTCCTTAGCATAATTGAAAAGATCACCCTGGTTTAGTCTTTAGTCTTTAATTTGCTATTTAATCTGACTTTAAGTATATCTGGGCTATTTTATGAGAAAACCAGGTAGACTTCAGAATTAGTGGCTGCTGCTAAGCACAAAAGCAAATCAGATGTTCCTATTACTACCAGAGTTAGAAACTGTGATATGAAAGCTAGGAGCTAAATGGCACCTTAAACCTAGGTTATGTCTACGCATGCTTTTTTATAACAATAATACAAATAATACAAAGCTGAAAATGAATGAACTGCAGTTAAAATATTATGTTCATTTTTCACATGGTCTAATCCTTCCCCTGCCCAACCCCCTAATACTCTTAAGAGGTTCTCTTCAGAGAGTAGCTGGAAGTGGGGAAGCAGAAAAAGGTCCTCCTTTTATTCTATTCTGCAGTTTTAATCTGAAATCTTAGGCACAGTACTGCACCCAGAGCTCAGAAGCTGCTCATGCTAATGAAATTCCCTGTTGCAAAATGCGCCTAGAACAATGGGAGTTTCGAACACTGATTACTACTCTATTGCTCATGTTTTAGAATATAACAAACTCTTAGGAAGCCTTCTTACTTACCTGTCATTGGGGAAGGTGGCACTACCTTCCTTTTAGTTTTCTTAAAGAACCCATCATCTGGATTATTGAAGTAATACTTCCGTGTCAGAAAGGACTGAAAAAAGAAAAACAAGTTCTAATGATGAAAGAAGTGGACACAAGGCTTCAAAATTAAGCACAGGTTATTTCTCTGTAGAAGAGCTGGCAATAAGGATGACAGATATTTACCCTGCAAACGACCTACCCTGCTTTTCCAAATATTTCCAGGTTTCAATGGAAACTG